TTTTTTTCTAACTACTTACTCAGTAAAAACTTTTCTAATAAAGAAGTCCTCCAACCAAACAAGTCCTAAAGGTTTTTTTTTTTTAGCAATAAATGTTTAATTTTTGTGTACTAACAATATTTTTTATGAGGGTTTGTTTATTTTGTACCCTTTGGACACATGTTATGAGTGTATTAATTGCAACTTTTTTTTTTATCTTATTTACAAAGTGAGAGATAATTCTCTCTCATCTTTTAACCCATTTCATTCGCATGTCATGCAAGTCAAATTCAATACCTTTTATTTTCAGTAAAAGAAAGTTACTATTTATTTACTTAAGTCATTGCGTATTAATTACAACTTTTTACATCTATTTTCTATAGAAAATCACAAGGATTGACCTTATTTTTATTACCATTATCACATGCATACTTTTAATAGAATAATTGATAAAATTAAAATTACTTTTAATTTTCTAATACAAAATAATTATAAAAAATATAATCAATACACCTGTGCGCTAAAGAGCCAGCTTAGAAATCCCCTTTTATGTAAAGTGCTCCCAACCATGCCAACAAGTTAAGCGTTTTAATTATATTCTTTTCTCTTGAAGGAGTAGTAGATTCTCAGTTTGAATTGTAAATATGCATATTAGATAAATAAATAGACAAGAGGAGAATTTTTTTCATATAATGAGAATAAATAAAGTTGTAGACAAGCAAATAGAAGTAGTTGATGGTGGTAATTGTTAGTTAATGGTAGATTGAACAGTTAATTTTAAATTGTTAATTTTAAATTGTTAAATCAACTTATATGGTAATGTTTTCAAGTATCTTAAAAGATATGAAATAAGAAAATCAAATAAATTAAATATATTTGTAATATCTTGTGTGATCATGATAATTTTTTTATGTAGCTATAACATGGTCCCAATTAAAATAAGTAAGACAACTAATACTTTAGAATTTTTTTTTATAATATAAACTAACTGAGTGAAACATTTATGAGAAAGAGAGATGAGGGGAAATGAGGGTTCAAACCCTTGCAATGAGCCATGATGTGAGAAACTTTTTTTTTTTTTTTTAATGAATTGAAATTATTTACATATATTAAACGAAAGAAAAAGAAAAAAAATCTGTAAGGCTCAACATGTCATCAACAGGAAGTATATGGTCCTAATTTAAGGTACATATCACTGGGCAAAGCGGACTGTTTGAGAAACCTACTTTTTACTAATGGTACAGCGAATTAATGATATTGTTATAGAATTAATATTGGGAAATTGAGTGAGCATTCGCTTCAATTCGTCCCAATTAAATACCACCTTACTTTTTTTCAAGAAGTTTTTTTGTTACGCTAATATTAATATTTTTATATGAAGTTAATATTTATTAATTTTAGTTTTAAAAAATAAAAAAAAATACTCTTATTTTTGTTTTAAAATAAGTTTTTTTAATTTTTTTAATGAAAGTTACACAATTTAAAAAACTAAAATGTAGCTCACCTTGTGCGAGTGCTCTTCTTATAATAATTGATGGACGGATGGATTACTTAATATTAGGTATTCACTTCTTTATTAATGGTTAAAAATAAGGGTGTTCGTGGGTTGGTTTGAATTTTAATATTTTTTAAATCAATTTAATTTAATTGATTAATAAAATTTTTAAACCAATCCAATCAATTATTAGATGATAACTAAACCAATCCAATTAAAATCGGATCAGTGTGATTTAGTCGGATTGATTAGTTTTTAACACTATTAAATATATAAGATAATATAAAATTTTTTAACATTAAATAAAAAATATAACTATAAAATACATTAACATCTAACTTACTAAAAACATAATAAAATGCATAAATTATAAACAAATTCTTATATTTATTTACAATTATAAAGATTGAAAAGATTTGAAACTTTTTCTTGACTATATCACTAGAAGCATCAAGAATAATAAAATATAATTTTAAATTTTAAATATAGTACAAGTAATTCTTAAAGGTTAAAACTAATTTTTTTTCCTTAATGCAGCAAATGATTCAATCTCATCTTTCAAACCTTGATAAAATCAATTAAAATTTAACATAAATACCATTAGGAATGATTAGAAGCATTCATAATTAAAATTTAAAACTTCTTTACCAAAAATCCAAAAATAGTAGAATATCAAAATTAGTTATATTATATAGTTTTAAGATTTTTAGAATAATATTTTCTAAAATTTAGTTAGGAAAATTATAATATTATTTTAAGAACAAATTAAAAATTTAGAGTTCTCAAAATAAAATCATAGACTAATTATAAAAAATAGAGTTGCAAGTAAATTAGAAATTTAAAATTAGGGTTAGAGTGCACAGTTTAGAAAGGAAAATAAATTAGAGAATATAAGGCTATTCTATTTTTATTTTTAAATTAAGTTAATGGAGTTATCATCTTATAAAATAGGAAAAAATTTAAAATATTACAAAAAAATATATTATGTTATTTAATTAAATTATCGTGTAATCGGATTTTATTTTGTAATTGGGTGATTTCAACAATTTAAATTCGACAATTTAAACGTAAAATTACAGACCAAATCAATTATATCAGTTTTAAAATTTTATAATCAAAATCAATTCAATTTTATATCGATTTGGTTAAATTTTTTATTGAATTAGATCAGTTTAGGTCACATTAATTGAATTGAATTGGATGTGAACACCTCTAGTTAAAAATAAGTATTTTTCAAATAGTTATATAAAAATATTATAATTATAATATTATATGATATTATAAATTTATAAT